TCATCTCCTTCAGGTCGGGACCAAGGCTCGCTTTCCAGGCCAGCCTGAATACCTCTGGCGATTTCATCTCCTTCAGATATGAACAAGACTTCGAGGGCTTCTCTTTCAGAGACGGTGGCTGAATGGGCCCAAGCTAGCATGTCTCCAACATACCGCAACGGATCATGAGCATGGAATTCGATGGGTTTCATCGAAGATATATTCTGCTTATCCGAAGCTGATCCAGTAAGCGCAGTGTAAAATGAATCCGAGAGAGTTTGCTCGCGTGCTTCAGCAAAAAAGTCCAGACAGCTCTGGAAATGAGTGGGACGCTCCGCAAGCACTCGCAAAGATCTTCTGATTGATGCATTGATTTGGGGGTTCTCGAGGTCTAGTGTCTTGAATTCGCGCTGAATCCAACGGTAAAGTTTCTGGAAGGCGGCATTTAGTTGCTTCGAACTTTGCTCCAGTATTTCTAGTCCCAGTCTTTGATCTTCGGTGCCCAATAATACTTGGCAATCATGGTGGATTTTCTTGACTCTGGTGAGGGTTTGGAAAAATTCTTCGTTGACAGGCTCAGCTGTAGATGTCAAAACAGTTGATTCTGAGTCTGAAATAATAAAATGAGAGTTGAAGGCATCCAAGACTCGCTGCTTCGTTTCAACGTTCCTCTTCTGGTTCATAAGGGTCGTGACCTCCTCCAGAACAGGCCCAGTCTCGCGATTTGCAGCAGTAATATGAATACGCATATCTGCACAGCACTTGTTCAGACTGGCAATAGCTGTTCCAATACGTTTCAATTGCTACATGCTAATTTAGCATATCTTTCAAACGTTAACCTAGGACACTGACTTCCGCGACTTGGCCGAAATCCTTTACGATTTCTCCATTGCACTGAATAACTTCTTTCTCAACGTCAAGCCTAAGTTGGCGCCGTGTTTCTGGTGTATTTCGAATGCCTCGCGCATCAAGAGTCTCCAGGGCATTTCGGATTTCGAGATCAGAGTATGATGCTGAAAGCACACTAGTAATCCTGTTTGACAAAGCGTTCGAGCTCCGTGAAGATGCTCCAACGGATGGAATGACAGGGGAAATAGAAGCAGAACGCTCTAGAAAGTAATTGCTGGCCATTTTGTGTGTTGGTTGTCTTCTAGCTTGCAATTTGATGCCGAGCTCGGAAGTCACGTTTCACCGATATCTTGCACGTGATACTTCCCCGGATTGCTTGGCAATAACCTCGACCGTGTTGGGGGGCACTGAAAGGCACCAGTAACTTCCACCTGACTTGGACACGCACTCACTATCACCACGACTTCTGAGCCATGTTCTAGTATCCTAGGATCAATGGAGGCGTATCTGGACATTTGGGGGTCCATAAATGATCCATTAACTTTCTCACAGCAACAACCCGCCCAACTTTAGCTCTTTTCACCCCCAACCCGCCTTCTTAAGGCCCATAGTCAAAGCCGAGACTCAGACGCCAACATGATGGCCTCCAATATTCTCTCCAGGCTTCTGCCTTCTGCATCCGACGAGCGGTCCATCTACGACGGTGACCGAGGGCAACGCCGTCGCTCCGAAACAGCAGAAAGCGAGCAACATTTAGGTCTAGATATAGACGAGGAGAATCTGGGAGAACGCTTCCAGGACCAGGACCTGGAGCATCTACTGGCAGATGCTGCCGCAAGTCATATAACGACCGAGAGCACCGCATTTCTACCTCAGAGTAAAGAACGAATGACTCAAGGGCAGCATAAAGAATCTAAGGCAAGATCAGAATGGTTACGCTCAGCTCCTCCGCGAGGAGGGCACCTCGACGATGATGACGATGTTCCTGAATCACTTCTACTCGAGGGTGTTAACGATCCTCCTGCATCTGCGCGCCTCAACGATCGCCGCGCCCCAACGGATGGCCTTCCTCCTCCTGTACCCGGACCTCCTAGTCGCCGAATAAAAGCTCAGTGGGAAGCTACAAGGACGCAACAAAGGCTGCATGTGGATGGTCAGAATGCTGCTGGTGGGACTAGATCAAATTTCTTTGGGAAGACTGGGCAACTATCAACTGACCCAAAGGAGAGGGCCATGTGGATGTGGGTAAATGTGCAAGACCTGGACGCGTTTTTGGTTCAAGTGTATGAGTATTTTGTAGGACACGGCATCTGGTCGATTCTCCTACACAAAGCCCTTACTTTGCTGTAAGTGGAAGATTAATTACCACCATTCGTTAGTATCCAACTAATCTTTTGACCAGTCAGAGTGCTTTTGTCGTAGGATTTCTTACTTTCCTCTTTTTTTGCATTGATTATGCGAAAGTTCCGCAGAGCAAAAGCATGGATGAGATCCTTGTGCCCCAGTGCACGACAAAGTAAGCTTATCTGAACCAGATCAACTGATCTATCACTGACATCATTTAGAATTCATGGACTCTGGACTTTCCTGCTGTTTATCTTTGCTCTGAGCTGGACGTACGGGGCAGTTTCTCTCGTCAGAGACATACACTGGCTATGGAGCATGCACAATTTCTATCATCATCTATTAGACATACCCGATCGGAACATTCAAACTGTCTCGTGGCAGTTAGTTGTCAGTCGCTTAATGGCTTTGAGGGATGCAAATTATGCTACTGCACAAAACCTCTCTCCCGAGACTCGAAGGATTCTTCAGGACAAATCAAAACAGCGAATGGATGCGCATGACATTGCAAACCGACTTATGCGGCGAGAGAATTACCTTATCGCTCTATTCAATAAGGAAATTCTGGACGTCACGATGCATATTCCTTTCCTCGGAAATCGATACTTCTTCTCTCGGACAACTGAGTGGCACGTCGGCCTCTCAATCATGGATTTTGTCTTTCCCTATCGAAACCAGATCGATCCCAAGTTCCTAAAGGAGTCGCATAGACGACACCTAGTTGAACAATTGAAGAGACGTCTCTTTTTGACCGGCTTGATCAGCATCATTTGTGCGCCGTTTGCAGTGGTGTTTTTCTGCGTTTCGTACTTTTTCAAATACTTTACTGTGAGTAGGCCGGCAAGGACATTTTAGATCGTTCGTCTATTTAGTGACTTAGGACGAAGCTAACAGTATGTTTAGGAATATCATAAAGACCCCTCCCAGCTTGGCTCGCGAATGTTCACTCCTCTAGCAGAGTGGAAATTTCGCGAGTTTAACGAGCTTAGACACTTGTTCGAACGACGCAGAAACATGGCATATCCTTATGCAGATCGTTACCTCGCGCAATTTCCGAAAGATAAAACCGAGCAAGCATCCAGTTTCGTGGCCTTCGTGGCAGGGGCATTCGCTGCTGTCCTCGCGCTCTTTACGATATTCGACTCGGAGTTGTTTCTTGGTTTCGAGATCACGCCAGGCAAGAATGTCATCTTCTACCTCGGGGTGCTCGGAGTCATCTATAGAGTGGCACGCAGTAGTAGTCCTCAGGATGATCTTGTTCTCGATCCGAGATACGCTCTAACACAAGTGATTGAATGCATCCGGTACGAGCCTGCTTCGTGGAAAAACCGTTTACACAGTGACGAGGTCCGCAACGAGTTCTCCAGCCTTTACCAAGTCAAGGTCGTTATCTTTGCCGAAGAAATTTTAAGCATGATAATCACGCCGTTTATCCTCATGTTCCGCCTACCACACTGCAGCGAGCGCATCGTAGACTTCTTCCGCGAATTCACCGTGCATGTAGATGGTCTGGGACACGTCTGTTCATTCGCCGTCTTCGATTTCAAAAGAGGTGGCGAGAGTGCTCCAGTTAACCGAACAGGAGACCGCGAAGACTCAGGCCTCCGCGAGGACTACTATACAGCTAAGGACAACAAGATGCTGGCGTCTTACTACGGCTTCTTGGACAACTACGCACCTCCGGGTCGTGGTCAGAATTATGGCCGTGTGCAGGCTAGAACACAATTCCATCCTCCGCCAGTCTTTCCGAACGCATTTACAGGCATGTCTTCCCATGCAGCTGATGCGGGCGGGCGTTCGAATAGCAGAGGTCCAGCTGGGCGACAGCCCACGCAACGGCGCACGCCAAGGCACATGGCCTCTGTAGGACGTGCCTCACCGATCAATTCCATACTCCTAGATCCACACCACCAACCTTCAATGTCAGCGCTACGGAATTCTCCCCGCCAGACTGCGCAGTCGAAATACCGCACACCCCTCCAACCGGTCTCCGATCCTGACGAATTGGACGAAGCGGAACCTGGTCCTGGCCAGAATCCCAACAGAGTCATCGAGGAAGACAGCAGCTTCGGCGACTCCTGGCGGACGACCAGGCTGGCGCAGACGGAGGACGAGAATGAGGAGGAGGCGCCGGATGATAATCGTGGTGGGGTGCTGGGTCTCTTGTACCAGTTCCAGAAGGCGCAGACGGAGGGCAGAGGTGTAGGTGTTGGGATTTGATTGGTCTCTAGTGCATTCGGAGGCGTTAGGGTGGATCGTGATCGTTAGGATGTCATTCGGCATAATGTCAGGAATATATCAGGGCATAGGCTTTTTGTCTTTTTGATCAGCTGGTGGCTTTTCTACTGCATTTAAATGGATGATTCATAGGCAATACAATTGAATCAATGCATCTTTCTGCTACGGTTGTCTTTTGATGAATCTATTTGGGATATTGGATACATTGGTCGCTTCTGTGCGAGATTCGGGCAATGTAGACTCAAAATACGCACCATGCAAGAAATATATATCTGCGCAATTAGAACTAGTTTACTTCCTCCATAAAACCTGTGCTAAACTGAAAGCGAGAAAATCGCGTAGGCAAAAGGTTGTATGTTTAACTCCGCTCAAATACGAATTATCGTCCAAGCATTTAAATGCATTTACGCACACGACAAATGCATTTTTGCACACGACAAATTTAAGCGGGTCACGATGGCGTGGGCTTATATCGGGAAGTCACGAATTCTATAATTCTTTATTTTTTTGCTAAATTTTGAAAAATTTTCAACGTTCTCCGTGGCGCAGTAAGGTTTCTACGTCCTGACTTAAGCTTACGCATGTTAATAATATTTGTAGATTGGTTAGCGCGTCCGACTGTTATGAAATCGGGAGGTTGACAGTTCAATCCTGTCCGGGGAAGGGGTTTCTTTTTTTTTTCTTGGATCGTGGCCTCATTTTTTTTGAAATTAGCAGATCGGAGAGTATCTAGTTTTCTGGTGTTGAGAGGTAGGATGGGTATGATCTGGGGGAGATTGGTTTTTTGGGCTGCGCACAATTTTATTGGAGGGGAGAGAGATCAAGCGGGAGGACTCTATTGCGACATATCTATGAATTCGAGGTATCAAAGAGCGGCATTTGTCATCGAGGGGATCCAGCGGACAGACCACAGCGTATACAATCAATGTTGAAAACCTACACCATGCAAGCACGCACAAAAAAGACAGTTTACTCGCGCGCTAGGCTGGGAGAAAACCAAGCCAAAATAGTATCCTCTAAGCTGACCTCTTTTGTATACCTGGAATATAGCATATATATATAAGGCCTCGAGGCTAACTACCTCTATCTAGGCAACTCATAAATAATATGCGCCTAATGCCACTAAAAGTTCTTGAACCTATTTCGCCCATACAATAAGGTACCTGTTTTAGTATGCCAATTTTTTTCCCCGCCCCGCTAGCTATACTACGCCACAGCTTGAGGCAGACCCTATGGCCACACTCTAATCTTACTCCAATTGAATCAATAACGTTGGGATAAAACTAACATTCTTATATAGGGGGGGTGGGTGGGGGGGAGTACATAACGTGTTGAAATAAAGCTCCACGATGAAAGCTCCACGGTGTGTCAAACGACAATTTCGAGAAGGGGAATAGGGGACAGGAGGGAAAAACGAATACAGATCAAAGGCGTATAAATAGGAAAGTCCAATATCCCCCCTTTCCGCTTTGTCAGCACCTGTCCAATACAAAGATAGCAACGCCTCCCATAGCCAGCAGTCCCAGCAAGCAATCCAAATGTGATCCAATCCCAAGATAGCGGAGAGACATTACGGATCAAACTACATCTCACAAAAAAAAAAAAAAAAAAAAAAAGTCGCTATCAAAGCACAGTCAGTCTAGAGAAAATTACCACCGTTTCCACTACCTACCGAAACGCATCATTACGTCAATAGTCGACCTGCTATTGCGCCGCAGCATTCTCCTCCCCAGCCACTGGAGCTTTGAACCACCCAGCGATCCAACTCCCCCGATTCGCCTTATTCCGCGCGCGCATCGCCTCATCCGCCTCCTCCGTCTCCTGCACCAACCTCAACGGCCTCATTTTATTTCCCGTCATAACACCCCCAGCGCCAGTGCGGTCGAAAGAGCTCGCGACGCTGCGAGGCGGTGAGGGGGTATCGATATTCACAGCCGTGTCGGCATTGCTGATGCTATCGAGCGTGCTATTGCTGGCGCGGGTATCCTCATTGGTGGCGGGTGTATAGCTACCCGATGGGACACGGGCAGCAGCGGCGGCGTTGGGGTTATTGGCTGTTGCGATGGGAATACCGAAGAAGGAGTTGCGGGGGGAGACGATGCCGGGGCTTATTTGGCCGGACAGGGGCGCTGGGGGAGGGGCGCGGTACATGTTATTTATGACGGTTGCGGCGGCCGTATTCCATTCTGAGTTGCTGCGGCGGTGGTAGCTGCCGCTGCTCATGCGGT